AAGGAGAACAATTTAGAAGCACATTCAAAATTGAGATGATGTTGGCTCGGACTACAGTAGTAGCAAGGAGGTGGTGAGGAGTGGTCAGAATCTGGATGTATATGGAAGCTAGGATCAACAAAATTGGTAAAAGATTGAGTTTGTAGTACATGAAGGGTTAAGGTTGGTTTTAACCAAATTTTTGCTCTGAGTAACTGAAAGTATAGAGTTGCTAGTTACTGACATGGGAAAGGAGGAGCAGATATGAAAGCAGGAAGATTGAGAGTTTACATTTGGAAATGATAAGTTGAGATGCCTTGTGAATATCTACATTGTAGGACTCCATAAGCAATTGGATTTACTAGAGAAGGACTCACAGCTAAAACTGGGGCTAGAGATACACAATTGTGAAAGCATCCAGTCTTAAGATAGGAGGAGCTCACCAGCTCCAGAGGGCAGACACAGAAGAGAAGAGTCCATGGATCAGGTCTTGTGACATTTTATTGTTTCCAGGCCATGGAAACACTGGGACACCGGTAAAGGAGAATGAGAAGGTGAGACCAGTGAGGTAATGAGAGAATGATGACCTGGAAGCTAAATAAAGAAAATATTTTGAGAAGGAGAGAGAAATAAACTGGGTCACGTGCTCCTGACATGAAAAGTAAAAAGATCAATTCTTGGCCATTGACTTCAGCAACATGTGATCACTCGTGACTCCAAAAGAAACTGATTGGAATGTGTTCAAGAAGGAGGAAGAATGGAAAGAGTGGAATTGGAGACACCTAATAGAGTCAATGTTCTGAAGCTTTTTGCCCTCGAGGGGAGTGAAAAAATTACCTAGAGGGAGGGGTGTCATCCAAAATATTTTTTTGTCAAAGATGGGAGATAGGATGTCAGCTTCTTTATCTGTTGGTGGGAATGTTCTAGTTATGTGGGGAAACTTGATGTAGGGAAACTTGATGTGGGGAAACTTGATGAGGAAAGAGAGAGAGGACATTGCTGAAAAGGCAGTTGTTCTTGAAAAGGCAAGAAGGGCTAGAATGTTGTGCACTAGTAGAGGGTTTACTCTTAGATGAGATGACAGACAATTCATCCATAGTACTAGGAGGGAGATGGACTATATGTGCACTGATAGCAGTGGGTTGTGGCTAAATCACTGCATTGGGTCATGTTTGAGTAATAAGCTACCAGTAATAGAATTTATAGTCCTCTGTGCCTATGGAACTTACGGCCCACAAAAACCTTCACATACCTATTACTGTGGCCCCTCCGCCACCTCAGCTAACAATTTTATAGTTTCTAACTTTAAAGTTGAACTACAACATTATTTTAATGAGTGGCTAACTTACACTTAAATTAGTAATAGCTGATATTTATTGAATCTTCTACATGATCTTATGTAAAACTCTCACCAAACCTATGAAGTTGGAACTGTCACTAACTTCCAGTTAGCAGTTGAGGGAACAGAGCCTAAGAGAAAATAAAGAACTTGCTGAAGATCACAAGTGGACCCAACTTATTGCTCTCTGACTCTGCAGTTCATTCAATAACCATAGGCTTTCCTGCTTTGTGAAAGTAGTTGAGCCTGTAAAATGTGAAAATTATGAATGCAGTAAATGAACGTTGGATATAATTTGGTTTACTTCTGTGATTGTAATCTGAAATTAAAATGCTTTGATTGCTTTGAGCTTCTGCCCCTCCTCCCAGTTTCTCCCTCCAAAACCTAGAATTTAAGAGTCTTTTACAGAAATTTTTGATGCTACGCTAGAGGAAAAATTGGTTGACTGGCTGCAGGTGGGTAGGACATTGTAATTCTTGTGGTAGTTCTCTTTTATAAATCAGATCTTAAATTAGAATTTGACAGCAAGATGCTGCATCTCTATTCAGAAGTGAATGAGAGCATAGGAGCATGGTCTTCAGAGTCAAAATGATGAGAATTGGAATTTTCCTTTGGCTCTTTGCTTGTATGTGTCAAGCCTTCTAGGTCTGCTTTCTCATTTATAAAATAGGGGTAATAGGATTTACCTACTGTGATTGTTGTATTAGAGATGATATATTCTCAAACACAAATCATAGAGCTTGGAGCTTTTTCTGCTAATAAATGGCAGGTGACTGGGTAGTTCCTTTGTCAGTTCCATTAACTACCACCCAGGAGATGGTAATCCAGAGGGTTGCCAATCGTGTCTTTTTCCTCATTACCTTAATTCCCAATAGAAAAATGACTCATTCAAGCATTTAATTTAAGAAATGTTTAGGGAGGCCGAGGTGGGCGATTCACCTGAGGTCGGGAGTTCGAGACCAGCCTGACCCACACGGAGAAACCCCATCTCTACTTAAACACACACACACACACACACACATACACACACACAATTAGCCTGACTTGGTGGCACTTGCCTATAATCCCAGATACTTGGGAAGGCTGAGGCAGGAGAATTGCTTGAACCTAGGAGGTGGAGGTTGCGGTAAGCCAAGATCGCACTATTGCACTCCAGCCTGGGCAACAAGAGCAAAAACTCCGTCTCAAAAAAAAAAAAAAAAAAAAAAAAAGAAAAAAGAAAGAAAGAAAGAAATGTTTATTATGCGTACTTTTTAGGAATGATTTATTATTTAGCATTAGAGAAAATAAAGCTTTATAGAAACATACCATTCTTATTTCGAATAAAAATGTGGAACATATTACCTGACTGAAAAAATGGAACATACATCTAGGATGTATGGCTTACTGTATGTATAAGCCGCTGAATATCCTCTTGGGTATGGAGAAGCCTCCCTGTCTTTTTCTAAATGTTCTTGTTCTCTAGTCACTTAATCCAGGCATCAGTACAATATACTGATTTAGACTTTGGTTGTGTGAATTCCCTTCAGTGGAATTGGGAAATCCATACACTGAAATTAAGCACTGCTTCCTCTTTCCCTTGAAACGGTCAACCGAGGGTTAGAGAAAAAGCTATCACTGAGATTATTGGGACAGCCAGACACTCATGGGCCTGGATAATGTGTCTTGTAAGTCAGTGTGTGTAGCAGCTTAGACAAGGCCAATGTTCTTTGGTTACCTGTATTACTAACTTAATATGCATCAAACAAATCCAACTGACAAGACACCCTGACACATAAAAAATCTTGTATGATGATATTGGGAGTACCAAGTTGAGTGGGGAGTTCTTTATCTTTAAGACATTTATAGTTAATTTGAGCTAGATTTTGTCAGTACACATACAAGAGCTTGATTCATCTCCTTCCTTTAGAAACTTTCCACACTGTCACTCTGCACCCGTGACACTTGTGCTCATTCTCTTAAATCTTGAGTTGTTTTTTTCTCTCTAAACTAGAGTTTATAAAAGTATTCACCATGGAGGAAGACCAAATCTTCCTCACAACCTTCTTGGAAGACCAAGTCTGTGTTTCTGCTAGTGCCTAGTCCAGTTCAGCAGGGGTTGCACTGTCTGGCCACCAGTTTTGGAATCAGGCTTCACTTGACTCATATTACAGTCCTCACTACTTCTTTGGCTAGTAAATATTTACAAGTGCTTCTTGCTGTATTCATTGAATAAAATGAGATAGTTCATTTAAATATATTGGTAATTTTAAGAGGCATAATTATAACAAACATGCACAGAAAGAATTAACATGTTGCACAAGTAAACACCTTTATTTGTCTTCTGGTATTCACATATTGCCTGAGGTTTTTAAAAAGCAGAAAAATAATGAAAACAGTGATTCTGCAAGAATACTTTATGACCATAAGATGTAGGTTCCTTTACAGATCTCATGCTCTAAATACATTATTGGATGACAAAACTTGTGATTTCCATAGGTGAGGAGTTTTGTGAGTCATATCATTTTTTAGGGCACTCTAACACACTATAGGATTAGCGTAAGGCTAGAAGTATGAAAGCGGGAAACATTTTAGTTCATGATTTTAGATTTCCCTTCCTATGCCACCTTCTTTTTTTTTTCCCCTTACTGCCCTGCTGCTTATTTCTTTCTCTAGTATCCATTGTCCTGTGGTCTTAAAATCATTCCTATAATGGTTCCTGTAATCTGTTCTCTTTCCCAAGGGTGTTTGCATTTTAATAGACAAAATACTCATATTTGGCTAAGCCAGGGGAATTAAGTGCTAATTGTGAAATTCAGCTTAACATGTAAGTGGCTACCCATATTGTAAGGTGGGTCCCAAATACACTTTCGTATTCAAATAGATATCTGTCCCACTTAAGGAATAAGGCACAAAATGAGAATACTGTTCCCTCTTGACTAACCGGTACCTGCATATTTGATTTAAAGATTATTATGTCTTCTTTACCCATTCTTCTAGTTTTCTAAAAATGGAGATTTATGGAGGAAAGCATGGTAGGATAGAATATATGGGCTTAGGAGTACCACTTGGATTTATATTCAGGCTTTGCAGTTGTTTGACCTTGGACATAGGACCTCCTACCCCTATATCTCAGTTTTCTCACCTGTGAAGTATGGTTGTTAGGGTTGTTATGGTGGAAAAAATGTGTATAAATTACAGCATTGTAAGCTACAGTATATACATTACAGACTCATGTAATGTAGTTATTGTAATTAGTCTAAATTCCAGGATTTCTACAAGGAAAAATGAAAACAATCAGAAATTTGTTTTTTACATAATAACCTTGTTAAAAGTTTTTAGCAGATGTCAGTTATGCCAATAATAAATTAATTGAGGGTATGCCTTGATTTTAATCAAGCCATTTATAGTTTATGGACACATTATATTTGTGTTTGCAAATGTGTTAATGAGATGTGAATATTTACAATGTAATTTTAATACTGTTTTAATTTAAAAATGACTCATTGAACACAGGGTTACTTAAGTGCGTTTGAGAAATGATTTTTGTTCTCAAAATTTTACATTTATGAGCTGATTCAGGAATGTCTATATTATGCACATTGAGGTATGGTCTTGTGAGGTGGGCACTTTTTTTCCGTGTTATGTTCTCCTGTGTTCTCTTATTATGCAGGGTTTGACAATTCTGTTTTTCACCCCACAGATTTACCAATAAAGAGATATAGAGAATATGAGCTGGTGACTCCAGTCAGCACAAATCTAGAAGGACGCTATCTCTCCCATACTCTTTCTGCGAGTCACAAAAAGAGGTCAGCGAGGGACGTGTCTTCCAACCCTGAGCAGTTGTTTTTTAATATCACAGCATTTGGAAAAGATTTTCATCTGCGACTAAAGCCCAACACTCAACTAGTAGCTCCTGGGGCTGTTGTGGAGTGGCGTGAGACATCTCTGGTGCCTGGGAATATAACCGATCCCATTAACAACCATCAGCCAGGAAGTGCTACGGATAGAATCCGGAAAACAGAGCCTTTGCAGACTAACTGTGCTTATGTTGGTGACATCGTGGATATTCCAGGAACCTCTGTTGCCATCAGCAACTGTGATGGTCTGGTAAGGCTCCTTCCGTTTTGGGCATATGAGTTTGCAGGTGCTGGGAGTGCAGCCATGGCTTCTGCATAGTTTGGAAGGTGGAGGTGGAAAGGAGGCTTCGTTGTTATGTTACATTTTAAGTTCAGAAAAAGACACTAGAAAGCATTTTGCTGTCAAAGATGTGTATTTTGGCTTGTGACAATTTTGTTTCTTGGAATAATGTGAAGACGACATTATTCCAAGAAACGAAAGATAAATATTTAAGCATTTTTTTTTTTTTGGTTAATGTTTTTCCTTGTATTACATTTGAGGATTTTATTTCCTTATTTTGTTCGAAGTGTTCTGAAAACTTTCCAAAGAAGCATAGGTTCCTTCAAAATGACAGTATTTTACTCCTTATGTGGAAACTTTGGATATCTTCATAAAGAAAATATTTTGAAAGTATTCTTTAGCTTCCTCACAGAATGCTAACGTGGGAAATGAGCAGATTCTTTCAGAATTTGTCCAAGTAGCATTACTTTATGAACGCAAGGTGCAATACTTTCTGTGTGGTGGCTTTGATTCTTCATTTTCCAATTCAATACCCATATGTTGCTTTTCAGTTTTGTGGTTGAGGTCAATAGTAACCAGCCCTACTGTACACACTCTGTAGAGGTGAACTATTTTTATTTGTTTTGTATCTCCAGTTGTTATTTGAAAGACATGTTAGTGTTTATGCCTATTCCATATACAGCTGATTCCAAGTCTTTATTACAAAAGAGCAACCATTTTTATTTCTGTGATTATCAGGCTACTGTTTCTTGGGAGTTCAGAGCTGTTACTTTTGTTCTGTCACTGCTTCCGGGAGTTCTCGAAATATTTCTTTCATTCCTGATTATAATTACTCTATAATACCTTGGCTGATCCTCCTGTGATACCTTGAATATTCTGCTATTGTCCTCTTTATATATAACTTCAACCCAATGGAGTTAAGATACAATGTTTTACCAAGTGCTGGTGAGTTCACCATGTTTTAGTTTATTTTTGCAAGCTTGTACTGACTCTTGATGTTCTGTAGGGTTGTAAAAACCAGCACAGAAAACTGTATGGCATGCATGCAGCAGGTCCACTTCTGCAACATGAACACCACTAGTTTAGGATTATACTTCACAGTTGGTGATGGACTAGTTTCTGGAGTTCCAAACCGTAAAGAATCTCTCAGATTCCTCTCATTCTGCATGAAAGGTTGAATAGAACTGGATTAACTTAAATCATTGAATAAAAACAATAAGAAAATACTTTCTAGAAGACTAAACAAGATTCAAGATATTGACTCAGAGAGCTATGATTCAATACTAAGATATAAAAGGAAATAAATTATATAAAATATATTAACACTTTCAAGTACACCATCTTGAGTATAGATCTTAATTTAGTGTTATTTTTAAATTTTATAGCATAAGAAATTATTTAATTTTTATTTCCTTGGTTAAGATTTGAAACTTGGGGTATTGGCTTGAAAATCAGTTTAGGGCAGGCAAAAGGCAAGGAAATCATTTTAATGCATTATTGCAGTGATTTTTAAACCTGACCAAATAATCAGTGTTTTTCTTACTGTACATGTCAAATTATTTAATCATAGATATAGAAATATGGAGCAATAGCAAGTTGTTACAAGGAAGAGGAAAATAGATATGAAGTGTGAATGGAAATTATTGGTATTATTTAGTTTCTAATTTTTAAGATACAGTGTTAACTATATCATGTATATGTCAGTGTAATATATGTGTATATGTGTGTGTGTATAAAACTTGTACAAGTATTCATTTGCTCCATTCTTTGATCCATTAACTAATAAATTTAAAAAATTTGCAGGAAGCTGGTTATGGGCACTTTTCTGGGCACTGTGAAATAGTGAAAGAAATAATCATGGTTACACCCTCAAGGAGCTCAGAAATGTAAAGTTTTGCCATAGAATGTAAGTGTCCAAAATGTTTGGTAAAAGAACACACACACACACACACACACACACACACAATATATGTAAATGTTTATATAATTATGTATAATTAAATATATAACTTTTATATATTTATTTTATATAGTATATGAATTATGTTTACTGTAAATTATGATTAAGGAAGGTATCTTCTGGAGAGATTTTATGAACAGAACATAATTTTTCAAAAGAGAGAAGTGGCCCAGACGTTGAGTTTGATCAGGAAAAGGGTGGGTCTGGCCTTATTAGGCAGTGCTGAGGATGTGGACATGCACAAATGGAAGCCTTTTCTAGAGTTTCCAGCTCATAGCAGCTGTGTGCTAGGAGGAAGGAAGCAGATGGTACAGAATCAGAAGCAGGCTTAGGAAAGCAGATCAATAAACTGAGGGAAAACAGTAGTTGCTTCATTGAGTTGTGGAGGATTTCTTAAAATTGAAGAATTGCTTTGAACCGAATAAACCTTTAGAAGAGATCATTTCAAAGTTTAATTGGTGAGAATGAGATTGTGGATAAATTTGCCTGATCAGCTGGTACCTGAGTCCTTTAACTGGCTATGTGTAGGGATTTAGGCTTGGCCTTCTTGACGTTATGGAGGGAAGCATGGATGCTGAGATAACATCGATGCCAGAGAATTAACCTGATGGCATATAAAGCCATTGTCTTGGGAGGCTCTGGGGTTATAATAAAATCCAAGTTGTCTTAATAGAATGTATATCCCCTTCTGGCCTAAAAATACAGATGAGAAAATCTCTGCCCATCGAGTATAATTAGTTAATGCCATTGAAACCCTACCTGTATGGGAAATTTAATCAATTTCATTAGATTAATATTGGACTGGTATAGAAGGAATTACAGTGATTCAATTTTCTACATGTATTCTTTGAAGTTGTTGCACGTAGCTAGTAGCCACAGATATTTACTCAGCTCACTAAGTTGGGAAATTCATGGCAAGACCCTCTCCATGAGTGAAATTTCTTCTCTTTTTCTCTTCTGCTGCTTTGTCACATGCTCTGTGAGTTTGAAATGGGCAGCACACCAGACATATTTAACAGAATGATTAATTTAATTAAAAAACCCCAGTGCTACTTAAGTGTGCTACGTAGACTCAGGTTTGTGACAAGACAAATACCAATAGTGAGGCAAAATGTTTAGGAACTTTTATAGCAATTTTGACAGTTAATGTATGTCTGTTGGGTCTAATAATACCAGTTTTAAAAATGGGTTGGCGTTTTCTGTCTTTTTTCATTTTATTATTCTAGTAGTTAGTTTTTAATGCATCGAATTGTATTTATTTTATAAGTACAAAAACACTAGTCTGGAACTGACTGGGGAGAAAAACTGTTTCTTCACCACAGATAGTTTGAGAAACAGGCAGTGACACTTAGCTGATTTCGCCCACTCTGGACATCAGAAATGTGACTGAAATAATCACATTACCTATTCCAGGTAATTGTATGAAATGATCACATGAAAGGCATTTAACATAGGCTTTATCAAAGAGGACAGAAGGATGCCTTGAGTGACGTATGGAGCTATGGCCTGGAATATGATCTAGACGTAGATATTACTCAATGAGTTTCTGAAATCAACAGGGTTTCCTGTACAAAGGAATTGACAATGCTTCCTACCCAGTGTGAACAATCAAGAACAATGTCTTTTTCTGTCTAGCATTGACTCTTTCCTGTTCTTGGTCAATATTATCATGTATACGTGACTACTAATCCTTTATCAATTACAGTTTTATCCTTGCTCTAGTCTGCCCTAATTATAGGTAAGAATTATTGAGATATTCAATCACAGAACTGTCCCCACTTTCTGACAGCATCCAATCTAGAAAAATGCCCTACTTGTTTAGACTCTTCTCAAAATTACCCAACCAAAGCCCAAATGCTGTTAATAATAGGTTCTTTTCAACAGTCTCTTACTGAGATGCTCATGGTTCCCTCTGCTGTACGTTCTCCATCTCAGCAACGTGTAATAAACCCAGTTTGTTAACTAAAGATGTGCTTCTGGTGGTCTTTGGCTAGAGGCTGTTGATATGCTTTTCCTCTCTACTTCTACACCTTTGAAATGAGAATCTGGTGGTCAGGAGTCATGACAATGGCAGACATTTTACACACTTCTTGGGAAGACACTTCTGGCTGAGAATCCCAGATGAAAATAGATTTCTCCCACAGAGTCCTGGCATTTACTCTCTAATACCATAAAATCTCCCCTGTGAGTAGTGGCAGCTCACAATCATATTTTGTGGTCTACAATTTGCCAAAATAAAGGTTTTTTGGTTAGTAGGCTTTATGTGATGTGTTTCATAATCTAAAGAAACTGGATTTTTCTCAACTTGCTAGAACAGTATCGCCTTGCTAATTCCTCTGGACTATCATCAGAGGGAACTGGTTGTGAGTGGAAGAACTGACTAGCTAGTGGCTCTACTGGGTTACCTAGCTCAGTGATTTCCTTGTGGGCTGATTTTAAGATCAAGGGGGTTTATCTAGGACAGAGATTTTCAAAGTTTTTTTTTTTTCTCTTTTAACATTTGTAATTCTTCCTTCAAATGAAATCACTAGAGGTTATCTAATAAAATAGAGTGTAAATTGGATAAACTCAGGAAAGGTTTGGTCAACTTACTCTCCCTCCTGCCTTGTCCTCAGTTCACACCACTGTTGGGCTCCCTGAGGCATCTAACAGAGATCTTTACTGGTAGGGTAGGGGTTTTTCGAAGCTTGGCGTTCACAATTTGGGAACCATAAAGAGAGCCTCTCTTCTAAAACTTCTGACAGTCACATCTGGTTAATATCAGAGACATTTTATCTTTGTTGGATTTTGAGCAGGACTAAATGAAGTCTTTGTGGGCAACTGCAAAGTTACAACGAAAATAGCCTTAGTTACCTGCCTTAAGACTTTTGCTCTGTGATTTGATCCCTTCAAAAACATAATCTTGCCATGCCTATTTTAGTAAGTCTAGCTGCAGAGGCACTTTTTTAAAAAGTCCATTTAAAAAGGTATTATGAACCAGTATACCTGTGATTGAGAACATTTGGCTGGT